TGGAGGGGGAACAGTCAACATCAGAAGTGGATGAAACAGCAGCTGAAGAAAGTTTAGATAACAAACTGCTCACAGCAAATGATGACCAGGTACAAGGTAGCTATGAGGAAGAAACACCAGTTATTGAAACAAGAGTTCTGAGAAGTGGAACGCAAAAAGTAATAGGTACACCAACTGACAAGACAACACGAAGCAGAAAGAAAACAGATGAACAAGAGACAAAAAACACTGAAAAAGAAAAACCAACCATGACAACAGTAACACTGAGACGAGGTAGGACACCTGCTCATGCCCCACCTATAGATGAATCCAGAAGAACCCACAAACACGTCCAGGAAGAAGAGCAAAAGGGTGAAGAGAAACCTAAAAATGTTGAAGCAACAGGATTAGGAGATGAAGGAAATACAAATAAGGAACCAGTTGTAGAAAGGACAGATGAGGAGAGTGAAGGGAAAAATCTGAAAGAGACTGAAAAACATTATAAGGTGGAAGCTGCTTCTGAAAAAGTGGAATATTTTGAATCGTGTGTAGGTGTGGACGAAGGAAAAGCTGTGACAGAAGGACAAGCAATGTCAGAGGAAGGAACAATGTCAATTACGGAAGAGGAGAACATAAATGACGTGACAGCTGCTGCAGGTGATTTAGTGCAAGAAGGAGAGACTGACACACTTTTACTCAAACCTGCCACAAACTCAGCTTCATTTTCACCGAATGAAGTTAAGAAAGCCCCTTCAGAAAAAAATCAGCAGAATGAGGAAATGACATCCCAGAGTTTTGGTCTCCAAAGGCTGACTGTTGTTTTAGTAGACATGAAAAACACTTTTTCTGCAGTTCACGAAAGAACAGCAGCCAGGAAGGAGGCTGTTCCTCTTGAAAAGATTGCTGTTGAGGCAGAAGACAAGCAGAGTGAGGAAACAATGAGACAGGAAAAAACCATGCCAGAAACTGAGATGGAGAAGGGAGTGGTGGAAGAAGAAGGGCTGGAGGAGAAAGTGGAAGATGCAGTCACACTACAAGATACAGCGGACGGGAGTGCTGAAGAAGCAGCTGAAGAAAATGATGCTGAAAGTGATGATGAGGAAAACTCTACAGTCAATGAAACCAGAACATTGAGAAACAGAAAACAACAAGTCACAACCCCAGCAAGAAGTGAATCAGTCAGAGTTCTGAGGAGCGGAAGAAAGTCTGTCCGTGTCACACAAAGATGTCCAAGAAAAAGCACCCACAAGCAAATCCAGAGCAAAGAAAGTGAGGAAGGAGAAGAATCTGCAGCAGTTGAGGCGACAGAGCCAGAGATAGAAGAGGAACAAGCTGAGAAACCTTCTATGATCGATCAGGAGAAGGAAGAGACACTTGAAAATGATGCAACTCAGCAACAAGAAGAGAATACAGCTCCAGAAATGGACATAGAGAACATG